CAACGACTGAGACGGCTGGACGGGAGATCGAACCAGCGACCTTCTGGTTCCAGGACGACTCACCTAGCCACTCCGCCACAGCCACCCCACATTTATTATATTTAGTGTTCAAATGATTCTGTGGTAACAGTTTTTTTTATCTGCACAGGAACTGTCATTTTCATGTGAAACACTGGTCTGAAGTGTAATTATTCAAATGATGTCCTGATGCATCTCAGTAACCCAGGAAGAAAAAAAATCAAAAAGAAAAAACTAAGTAGGTCCTCTGGACAGGTTCTTCTTTGGTGAAAAGTTTTGTCTCCTCCAAGAGACTTCTTCAGTCTGATGAGTTTCAGGTGAAACTCAGACTTATAAGCACTGCCTCCACATGGACAAACAGGCTAGTCACATGCAAAAGAGGGCCATCGACTAACAATAGGCTTGATTGGCTCTATTGTTCATAGAGGGTCATGTGTCCCATCACCTGACCCGTGTCGTGTTATGCGAATGTAGTGAATGCAAGCGGGGGTTCAATGTCCCCTTGTATTCAAATGACAATTTGCCTTTTCCTGATGCAGAGACAGAAAGAGCAGAGTCAGATTTACCTGGCAGCTGTCCACACCTCCTTCCAGCTTTCCTGCACACAACATGCTCCGAGTGACAGCCCCATTCAACACACGAGGATCATTACAGGTCTGTCGGTCAAAAATGGTCACCTGAGCTTGATTTAGTACACGTGGTGATGGTCCTGAGAAAAGTGAACATGTTTACAACCATAGTTAAATATAAGTTAAGCATGACATGTTCTGTTTTATTACTAAAAGGGAATGCTTGGAAACTAATGATTTAAAAAAGAAAGTTGTAGTRTCAGCTCACCATGTGAGTACAGAGCTCCCCATCCTGTGATCCAGGCTGGACTCTCTGCAGGAATGTTCACCCCAGTGTTGGGGAGGCACACGGGTCTCACTGTGCCTGAGAGAGAAACGTGGATGAGTGTCTCAACGGGTCACATCAATGAGGTCCACTGAAGGAAGCAACACTTACTTGTAAAGGATAAAGGTGTGWTCAGCTTTAGAAGAGCCACATCATTGTCACTAGTTTCTGGATCATAGTTTTCATGAATAATGATTCTTTGTACGTCTTTATAAAGCATCATGYGTGATAAGCGCACATCACCGTAGTGTACCCTCCAGTTGGCAGGACTGGAGTATCTGCAGCAGAAAACAGAATGAAGACTAATKAGAAAACATGACACCTGCTGCTGGAAGGTGAGGGAAGATGATAATATTGTTGCCTTTGTCTGTGTGCTCATATGTCTTTCTGTTAGCAAAATATTCCATTGTAGAAATGAAGAAAACAAGGCCACAAATCCCCCATCTGCAGCTCGACTCTGTTCTTTATATAAATGGGTTCTGTTTACACAGATTTCCTTGTTGATAGACGGACAATAGATATTTTATTAGAAATGAGGTGTTTGTTTTAAAAAAAATCTGAAATAAAGCTGTCCTTTTCCATTATCATCTCAAAATTAAACAWGTGGCAGACCAAAACTTTAGCACTGATTAATTTACAACTCTAAAGTAATTGTGCCTTATGCTGACTATGGCTGACTCCTGATATTCACAAGTTAAAATGTTTGACCAACTAACTACATCTGTCCTTAACTAGCATTAAAATTAGGCTAGTTACCATYCACGAATGGTGACTTCTGGAGCAAAAAAGAGTAGGTGAGGTATAAAAATATAAACTCCCTTTCTCTGARATCTTTTCTTAGACATTTAAACTGTAGGAGTGATATGGCAGAAAAATACAACAATTTGCCAACCAGCCCYTGTCAAAAGCCAGCTTACTGTAAGTCAAAATGGTCCCCACATTTGGTGTGGTAGTAGCTGAGAGTCATTCAGCCATCCATCCATCTTTTTCCACATATCTGGGGTCGTGGGGGCAGCAGCCTGAGCAGAGAGGCCCAGACTTCCCTCTCCCCAGCCACTTGGGCCAGCTCATCTAGAGGAATCCCAAGGCGTTCCGATATCAGCTGAGAAACAGTCCCTCCAGCGTATCCTGGGTCTTCATCTGGGTCTCCTCCCAGTGGGATGTGCCTGGAAAACCTCACCAGAGAGGTGTCCAGGAGACACACATGTAGGCAAACTCCCATGCACCCCCCAGGGTGTAGAGTTGGTCCAGTGTTCTACGACCAGGATGAAAACCACACTGTTCTTCCTGAATCAAAGATTCAGCTATCCGACAGACCCTCCTCTCCAGAGGCCCTCAACAGACCTTTCCAGGGAGGCTCAGAAGTGTTATACCCCTTGTACTTGGAACACACTCTGTGCCGACCCCCC